GGGGCTGCGGGAGAGAGCCAGGCGGTGAGCCCGGGGGAGGCGAGCAGTGGAGCAGCGCCTGCAGCAGGAGGCTGGCCGTGAGTTCCAGGTCAACCTGGGCTGCGGCGTCACACTCTCCTAACAACAAACAAATCCATCCAAGAACGGTGCTAAGAGTAGGCCTAGGGCACACTTTTATTAAGGAGCTTTGCTAAATCTATAGCTTTTCAAATTACAGTCTTCTCACTCGTTCTAGAGCCAAACACTTCGAGTAGCGTGGTTTACACTTCTTTACCCCTCGGCACATCGCATACAAACGCGCACTCGCGCGTGCCTTTTTGCTATTTACAGTTTGTTGAAAAAAGTGCCAAGAGCAAGCCCCAAGGGGAAACGTCTAGAGTTACGGGTTTCTCCTAATTGTTTCAGCGCTCCTAACAACAGAACTGTTTGGTTTTCCCATCCGTGTTTACACTGTCATCTTGGTCTCCGCGGCTTTAAGCATTTTTGAGTGGATTTTTATCTGGCTTCTTGGACACCACTTTCTATAAACAGCAGCTTAGAAAGGGCTTTAAGAGCTTGGCTGGGAGGCAGAGGCCCCTGGTTAAGTATAAAAGCATACATTGGCCCTCCCCATCAGAAAGTCTCCCAAATATCAGAAAGACACTTTTCTTAAATTATTAATGATTTTTTTTTCAGCTCTGCCTACAGGTTGGTGCACAGACTTCAACCAGCTTGAAGTCTGGGCAACTTTCCATGTCCAGTTACACAACCTCACCAGCTCCATTGCCCCTCCAGCCAAGCCCAGCCCAGGGCATGCTTTTCTCTCCGTCTTCAACGAGAGCTTGCTCTGCCCCCTCGCAGCTCCGACCACGATTCATTTACAGTGATGCATCTTCCCAAATGAATCCTCTCCCTGAAAAAGCAGCTTTCTCCCGCAGGAATAGCTAGCTACACAGTCCGTGTCTCTGCAAAGCCGTTGGTTCTGACTCCCTCTGTTCAACCAGCGCACCAAGCCAGACAAAGTTCTGGTGGCTCTCCACCTCCTGACTGTCAACAGTTGATCTCAACCGCTTCCCCTCTGATACCACCATCTGTTGGCATAGGAAAGATGGTCTGATACTGGGGTCAAATGCCACTGAAGTCATCCAATTTCCATGTGGGGGGAAATAAAAACAAAACTAACATAAAATAAATCGCCCAGGGAGGCGTGGATGATAGAGATAGTGAAATGAGTAAGCGCCTAACAAAAACACCACCCAGAAGGCCTGGTGTGTGTGTGTGTGTGTGTGTGTGTGTGTGTGTGTGTGTGTGTGTG